AAATAACCAGAGAAAACAAAGTAACGCTTCAGGTCACAGCGTTGACTTGGCTGAACCATCAACTTTAAAGAGTTCTAGTAAACGTGAATTTGAGGACGAGGACGATATCGAATCTAACGAAGAAGAAGCTGGTCCTAAAAGTGAAAAACGTGCTGGTCGTCGTAAGATAAAAATTGAATATATCGATGATAAAAGTAGACGTCACATTACTTTCAGTAAACGAAAGGCCGGAATAATGAAAAAGGTGATTCTTGATTTTTTTTTTTTTCTCTCGGTCTTATATATATTTATATATATGTATATATATCTATCTTTTTTCATTTGTAAATTAAATCTGTATAAAATGCATAATGTCATCCTTGCCATTTTTGTCGTCGTGTTTAAATTAAAATTTCCTCTTTTGATTAAAGAACTAAAAGTGGTGTACAAACAAAGACAATCAATCAACGTTATTTCTTCAAAGTTCTACTTCTACTATATCCCTTTATTATTAACTCTTTTATTAATATTTCTTGTTTTATATCTTAGGCATATGAATTAAGTACCCTTACTGGTACTCAAGTTCTACTTTTGGTCGTATCAGAAACTGGTCTGGTTTATACTTTTACCACTCCAAAACTTCAACCCCTCGTCACCAAGCCTGAAGGAAAAAATTTGATCCAGGCTTGCTTGAACGCTCCCGATGCTCCATCCGGCCAAGATCCTCCTAATACGGTATATATTAAACATAATTTTTCTCCTGATCATATTCGTGCAATGCAGCCTTAATCTTAAGTCTGGCTTAGTCATTCATGTATCATATTTTGTTAAATAAAGTCTTTTCGCTTATAAATATTTTTATCTTGTTCTATTTTTTATGTTATGCTTGGATATTACTCCTTGCTCCTCCTCCTCTTCATCATCATCATCATTAATATGTTAGACTCGTTCGGCACAAAACGCTCCTGTCTATGGAAATGATGGTTCTGCTTCTGTAGACGCAAACGGTGATGTCTATAATGATGACAGAAAGGTATCATATATTATACCATGATTACTAATCATAATGATCATAAAAATGAGCGTTTTTTCGTTCTCCTCCTTTGGAAAAAGCAATATTAATTTAATAATCATAATGTAATAATAATAATAATAGCAATCAATAATAGTATTATTACTATTATTATCATAGTATTATTTTATTATTATTATTATTATTATTATGGATCATTGTTAATTATTATTAATATTCATTATTCTTGTTAATTCCTTTCTAATGTTAGCCACAAACTTCGGGTGGTCAGTTGTCGCAAACTCAGCCGTCGTACGCTCTTGGTTTAAGTCCCTACAATCAATATAGTGGAATTCCCAACATGACTTTAGGAACAAGTGGTATTGCTTCACAATATATGCCATCCGCTGGATATCCACAATATGGTCAACAACACTTAAATCAATATGCACCGAATAATCCTTACATGCAACAATATTGGGGTCCTGGAGGAAATAAAGTCCCTCAATATTCGAACCAATCACCTGAAAAGAAGTAGAAAGTAATTATTTGATATTTTAACGATTTCTTTGTTTGGCCTATTATTCTTATTGTACAGATTTCAATTGGCTGAACTTTCATTTATATTCTTCCCTTTCTCCTTAAAAAAAAAAAGCATTGGTCGATTCATCTCGTTTGATATGGGAATGAATAATTGTTTATATTTTAAAAAAAGAATTTTTTACAACTTATGAAATATATAGTTTTGATTTATGTTCTTTATTAAAAAGAAAAAAAAAAAAACTTCGTTCATGTATCATTTTTTTTTCATTTTCCATTCGATTGAATTGTTCTCATAAAATTATAAAAAAAAAAAGGAGGCATTCTTCGATTGGTTGTTAATATATATATATTTTTTATTCACCACATACAACAAACACCTTTGCAATATACATAGTACCTTCTCCGCTTTCCCTTTTCTTGTAACCAATTTTTCTTTCTTTTAAAAAAAAATTTTTTTCAATAGTAGTAGCAGCAACTTTATATTTCTTAAAATGGTTCTTGTTGACTCAAGAACTAAGGATTGTTTTCACTTTTCAGGTATTGATTTATATAGGTATTAAGTAGTTGTTAACTTTTTTGATTTTGAAAAAAAATGGCTGATGTAAATCGATAAATATATATATTTTTTTATAAATAAAAAACATACAAATTCACTAAGTATTCACGAGCTTAATATGCCACGAACAAGTTTATTAAAATGTTTAGTGTATATTAACAATGATTATAAATCACTACGTATGAAAATGGTTGTAAAAATAAATATACATTATCATATTGTAATCATTTGCTATTCAGGCATGGTAGGATGCACCTTTGCATACATAAATCACTTTGTTAACGATTTGTAGCCAATATATTACAACATCATGCTGCATCCTTTTTTTTTATAAAAATAACTTGTTCGTATTATCATGTAACATTAATTAAAATTTTTCATTTATCGTTACTCGTTTATTCATTTTTAAAGGTGAACACAAAAAAAAAAAAAACTTTTTTTTTTAAACTAAATTTAGATTTTTCTCTTTTTTTAAAAAAAAAAATACATAAAGAACAAATTTCTTATAACCTATATATAATCAATTCTAAATTGTATTTTATATATATATAAATATATATATATATATATACGCGCCTATAGAAGGTAGTCGATCAGCAATTTGATACATAAAAGAACCTGCTTCTAATATATATATGTGACCCTGTTCATCACGAAGTTTTGTTTTTAGTTTTGCTAAAAAATTTTTAAATATATATATATAATAAATATTATTACATGTACATAACAGTTTTCAATGTTTTCGTTTTGATCCTCTACTCAAAAAAAAAAAAAAAAAATCCTTTTCCATTAAATAAGGATCCAAGTTTTCAAATAATAAAAATGACAGAGATATATAAATGTATAAATAGTTAAAATAATAATAATAATAATAATAATAATAAATTTATTTTTTTCCCTGTCGTCTATTGTCCAAAATATTCCGCTGGAATCTTTTTTTTTTTTAATTCACAAGCACGACCATTCCTTCCATTTCAGAATTGTTTAAACATTCATTAATAATAGCATCTTCCTCTTCAAACATGCTCACACTACCAACGCGTGCCATGCTCATTCTTCTGCGATATTTGAGACATTGCTTATACATTCCCCATACTGGTGAATTGACAAGTAATCCTTTACGCAAATGTGAAATATAGGTATAGAAATCACACACCGCAACAATACGATCCCGACAGAATCTATCAAGTGGAATCCATCCTGGACTTCCTATGCTCGAAAAACGTGATGATGAAGTTGTGGTTGTCGATGGTGGTACTGCAACATCCGCTCCAACAATTCGCATGCGGAAATCACAACTTCTAACATGACCACAGAGACCACATTTAAGTTTTGGTGCTTGTGGTGGTTCATTATAATTGTTCTGTCGTGTATTCGATGTTGAACTGCTCATTTGGCTGGTGTTAGGTGTACTTTGAACGGAACTTGAATAATTATAATGTATTTTTTGAATTTCGCATTGATTTTTCATAATAGCATCTAACAAACGTCTTTTATAAAATGGTGATTTCCATCCTGTATGTCCTTCAAATAAGCACGGTTGGATATCTTCATTCATGCAACGTTTCATGAATGGATGTGTAGGAGTAGAACTCGTGGGCATAGTAGAATTTGTAAGTGACTTTACATATTCTTGGAATTCTTCATAAACTATACTGTCAATATAAATACGTCTGCCTCGAGAAAATGATATCTCATCTGAAAATTGGCTTGAAAATATATTAGGTGACATACAACCGAATATCCTGCTTCCTCTTGGACTATTTGTAGAAGAATTGGACAGTAAACTTCGACGAACAATAGAATTTCTGTTTAATGGCACTCCATTTTGCGTTGGTGCCGTTTGTCTCTGTTTTGTAGAATCTAAGTGGACTAACAATAATTTCATTTCTCTTAATCGATCTTGCCTACTTTCAGATGATTTTAATGAATTATCCATTTTTCCTTTAGTCTCTCTGTTTAGGCATTCCAATTCTTCACGTGTATTGGCTTCATCAAACACCATTTGATTAACTTTCTCAAACATAGCATTTATCCATTCATCTATTTCTTGTTCTAAGCTTTCTTTACTGGTTTGAATTTGAGAACGAAGAGTTTGTTCTTCCGCAAGAGATAATGCTAATGCCGAAAGATCACGTTTAAGATATGCACGTTCTTCAACATGTTGATCAACTTGAGCGAGCAACATATTACAATTGGGACAAGCGTTGGTATTTTGCAGAACGTCAGGGATAGGACCGGGAGATGGCAAACTGTCATGGACAAGATGAAGTTCATCATCATCATCATCATCATCAGAATAATCACCATCTGTACTTTCATCTTCGATTTCTTCAAATTTCTTATGAAAAGTATTTGTTGCATGATTATTAAATTTGAGTAGATATTCTTCGCGTCTTTCTCGCTCCCCTTCTTCTAGTTCACTGTCAATTGACCTTCTTCGAATGGATCGATATTCTTCGCGTCTTTCTCGCTCACCTTCTTCTAGTTCACTGTCAATTGACCTTCTTCGAATGGATCGATATTCTTCGCGTCTTTCTCGCTCCCCTTCTTCTAGTTCACTGTCAATTGACCTTCTTCGAATGGGTCGATATGGTGTTGTTAAATTGTTATCATTATTGTTATCATTATCGTTATCATCATCGTTATCATCATTTTCGTTGTCATCATCCGACATGGGAATATCATAGTCTGCAATGTCTTCTGAACCATCTAAATCATATTCAGAAAGATCGGATACATCGTCCAGCGAAACTTGGCTGCCACTAAAAGATTCTCTCCTTGAATTATTATGATGAACCGTAAGCCTATTATTTACATCATTTTCTATGGAATCATCGTTTACTTCTTCCTTTTGCACATCGTGATTAGGTACAATGTTATTAGGTAGAGGATCAAGTTGAGGAGCAACAATTTCAACCCTGTGATCAGATTCATAGTCATCATCATTAGATGGTTGAAGTTTCGAATCACGCCGTACTGGTGATAACGATTTCTTGGAGTATTTTGGTGCTTGATTATTTTGAGTACATTTTAAATAATTTAAACATAATTTAATACTATCTAGGAATTGTCCTTCCAAATCAGTTGATTCTACTGCTGTAGCATTATCGTCATCGTCCTTGCTAACTTCTTCTTCTTCTTCAAGGCTTTGTGCTTTAAGCATTTCTACAGTTCTTGACAGAACAATTATGGCCTCCCTAGCTCCAAACTCAAGACGACTAGCTTTGGTTTTTAAATTATGAATATATTCATCTTTTTCACCAATTTCTTGGAGTAATTGATCTCGTTCATGTTCATGGGCTTCATTTATGGTCTGATTTTTGTTATATTAAAAAAAAAATTGAATTTTATTTAATTAGGTTTGATTATGTACGTGCTAACATATGAATTTTCAGAACGAAAAATCAAATGTTGAACCTATGAATTGTAACTTCTGTTGTATATGTTTCTCTGCAAATATAACAGGGTTATTTTATTTGTTTTACACACCTCAAGGTCATTTTCCAGTTCATATACTCGACTTTCGAGTTTACTGACAAGATCTTGAGCTTGGAGCATTAAAGGAAGAATACTTGCTACATCCGTCGGTAAACCTTCCTGCTCATTTACTTCAGTTACTTCATATGATTCATTTACTTCGTATGATTCATTTAACATCTCGGTTCCGGGCATTGTTATAATTATAAACTATATTAATGGGGTAACTTATGAAGGTTTATAAGTAGACTTGTTCTATCTCAATCTCTTGAGGCTTCACTATGTATAAAGCTAGACCAAACTAAACATATATTTTACAAATATATGGTAAAGGCCGTGATAGATAAACGGATGCAAGAGTGAAGCAAAGGGCACCGTAGAAATACGTAGAATAAGACCAAATAAAATGTTACAGGCTCGTAAAAGTCAAACTATTGGACGAAATAAAAAAAAAAAAAAAAAATTATATATATATAGAAGTGTATCTAAAGGAAGAAGATTTTCTAGTGATTGATTTTACAATAGATTTTATATTGTGTATTATATTATTTGTTATGTATAAAAACCGTTTTTTCTTTTCTTCCCTTGCGACAAGTATAAAAGCGGTGGCTATGATTAGACAGCCAACCTAACGGTTACTGGATGCAAGGATACAAAATGGGTAATTGCTTTACTTCGAACACAGTAATCGTTATAGATTGAAAAAAATTTCGCGAATGATACAAGGGGTCTATGACTTATCTTTGTCTCATCACACATCGTGTCACCACTTTCCACATCTTTCCACATACAAACATAATAACTAAACGAATATAACTAGTCTGCCAATTTACTGTTGGGGACGGTTTGGGCTGAAATTTACTTTTATGTATCATGTTGGACGAAAATCTTGAAACACAAAAAAAAAAAAAAAGCAGCTTTGAATACAATGAAAAAATCCGATGCATTCATACACAAGGTCAACCCCAACAATCTTGTCCAATGATAAAAAAAACAAAAGTAAACAAAAAAGGAAATAACAGAACATAGCATATAAACTTTAAAATTATTACCCCACCAACTAATTGTATGTCAAAAAGTATTATTCTTGTCCTTTTTTTATTATTGAATCAGTATTATCATGACATTCCGCATTACTCTTCTTGTCTGGACGGAAGTTTGCATTCATAAGTTCTCTTACCCGAGAAATAAAACTCTCGGCTGCGGAAGAAGCAACAGATATATGCGATGATAATGATTCTAGCATTTTATCAAGGCGCGAGACATCGTCCTCATTTCTAAAGGATTCGGTCATGTCAACTCGCCTTAATGATGACAATAATTGTTAGTCAAAATTATGCATTGTTACAATAGCATTATCATGACCATTGTCGTGCTATATTTATATTTATTGTGAAAAAAGAAATAAATGCTTTTTAATGTCAAATTAATGATACAATCAACAACACACTTACTGATCATAATTTTGGTATTCCTCGATCAGCTCAGATAATTGTGTAAACATTTCTTCGGGTAAACTTGCACTTGGTGATACCGAATGCTGGCATGAATAAGGTGTTCCTGATATAATTGATATAATTGATATAATAAAGAATATATACAAATAACCACTTAAAAAACTGCAGACACACATAATTAATATCCAATGAGATTGAGATTTTGATGCTTACTAAATTGCCCCGAAAGGTCATAGTTTGTTCCGCTCACCCAGAACTGAAATCTGGATACATTAGATTCGTGTCCAGCATCATACGGCGTTACAATAACGCCAATAAAAGGTTCCACACCGTCTTCACGTCGCCACATTTCCTGTATGATACATGTAATGATTTTAAATTATGGCTTTTTATTATGGATCATAGATTTAATAGCTCATTAATCATACCTGATACTGCGTTTGATTTTCAATATCACGGACGGAAGGTTGAGGTTCAAATGTCGGATGTGAATGATACCATCCAACAAACTCAAGACCTTTTTCAGCGAAAACTTCTCTTGCGGCAACTTCAGATGCCGGATCCATTTCGCACTAAATAAGCCGCAAATGTAAGATTATTTATATTATGATATAATCAATATAATAATGCGTAAACACCTGAAATCCAGTGCTAGCACTTCTGCATGGAAATACGTATGTCACTTCCATGCTTTCACTATCTGGTTGAAAATGTCCACCAAGTAAACCGATGATTTCCGTGTGAGCCAAATGAGCATGAAAATCCATTACAAGCTATGATTTATTACGTATATGGTGTTAATGTTTATAAAAATTTGTAATTATAACATTTATTTATCAGGTATACCATGACGTTTGCTGTAACCGATACACGAAATGGCGCTGGATTTCTTGACGTATAATGAAGTGGTGGTACCAATCTGAAAGGATCATAGGAACCGACCATGTCGTATGCTAAAATATCGTAATATTATACGTTAAGGAAAATTATTATCTCGATTCTGAACAATTTATCCTTAAAATAGTAAAGGATATTTCGTTATAATTAATACGGCCTCCTTTTGTACTGGTACGATTTCGCTTGCTTCTGCGTATTTGACTGTCGCCTAAAAAAAGTTATGAATATTTAATAATACTTAAAGGTCGAAATGGTCGAAACAACTTTTGTAAGAAATTGTACCTGGAGTTCCTTCCTCTCCATCATCATCATATTCATTTGGACTTCCTCTTTTAAAAGTTCAAAATTTAATTAGAGCTATTAAAGTCAATAACAACACTTTAATTTAATTCAAACCTTTCTTCATTACGACTCTTTTTACTTCGTCTTCAATGAACAAGTAGATTAAATTAGATTAAATGATATACATCAATATCAGCAAAAATTTAATAAAAAATCATAATTAACCCGTAAAGAGTCCAATTTTCATCCGCTAACGTAGCCTTCCCTTTTCTTTTTTTAATTACACTAGCACCTTTATCCGCGTCATAGAGTACCTTTGGCTTGAAAGTTCGTTGCTTTCTCTTTACTAAATCATCACCAACATTGATTGCACCTATGTCTTCTAAATACGTATGAACACGACCGATAGCATTCACGTCCCCACAGTCCTATGCGACAAAAGGATGCAGATTTAGATATCAAATCTATACACCAATTGAATATTACAATACAATATGTACCTTGAGTCCTGATCTGACGCTTGTCTTGGATACATATTTTGGTTTATTACTATTCCACGCATTAAGAATGAAATTCCTAATTTTCATGTATCGCTCAGGTGTTTTAGAACCCCTGCCACAAAAAAATTCTGAATTTTTTTTTCTTTCGGATTCAGTAATGGTTTCCTGGTCAATTTCCTATCAACAATTTCATCAGTATAAATTAGTATCGACGTATCGACAGAGATGACCATCCAATGTCTAAGAAAATTAATTTAAACAAAGCAATTAAACTCCACAAGCATACAATAACTCCAATTGGGTTTTCATCACCCGAATCCGTTTCGTTACTGGCCCCTGAGTCTTCCAATTGGTCGATAGATTCAGCGACCGCTGCGGGAGGTGAAGTAGTCATTGTGAAGCTTTTAAAAAAGTTAGAAAGTTGTGTTCTTTGTCTTGAATAAAGTTTTTTTATGAATAAAGTTTTTTTTTTTGGCTTAAAAAGTGTTTACGCGAAAAACGCGTGAATATGATATATTTTATTACATGGATGATGCTACTAGACTGGTCATTACGGAAAATGGCCATATCACGTGATTGTAGATCCATCCGGATTTAATTTCCGATCTTGTACATATCGATATTGATATCTAAATTTTGAAAAACCATAGTTAAGTTTGATTTTTTTTTTTTATTCTACATATTTGTAAAATCAAATTTGGTTAGCAAATGTCAAGATTTTGAACAAGACATCTCGACAACCCTTCAGTCAAATTAGTCAAATTTAATAATTTTTTTTTATTTCGATTCTACATATTCGTAAAATCAAAAATAAAAAATTAATCTAAAAATTTGTTAGTTTGTCGTCGAGATATCTTCAAGGTTTCAAAAAAAAGTCTTAGTTAATATTTTGATAGACGTTTTGAATTTTCTCAAGATTGTAAGTAAAGGTATCCCGATAACAGTTTAGTAATTTTTTTTATTTTGATTCTACGCATTCACAGAATAAAATAAAAAAAGTTCATTGAGTTTGGTCGAGATATCTTTGCTCTCAAAGTTTCAAAAAAAAAAAAAAAAATTTAGTAAATATATATTGATCATAGACAGAAGTTCATCTGATTGGCTGATGTAAATCAATTGCCCGGATAACTTATATCGATATGCTTTAAAGTACTTTAGTGTTACATACTAAAAGAACGCCAACTTTTACATAGTAAAAGTGTCAGAATATTATCTTTAAAAATAATCTCTAATAAGATCTTATTTAAGTAGCGTTATGCGACTTTTTATTGAAATGGCTATAGAAAAGAAACTTGAGGCTAGTTTTTAAAGTACTTTTTCAAACATTAACAAAAAAATCGTTGCAAAAGCCACTTGTAGCTTTAGACAACAGTCAATATTAACAACGCGAAAAGATTTCACCCTGACGAACCTTGATTAAAAGACAAAATATGCCTATTGTGCCAACGAAATTATACTATAGAGTGAAGGTAGATAACTAGGAACTTGTCGTCTAAGAACTTCATTATTTATTATGTTATATTTAAATTAGATTTTGACTGCCGTTTAATTTGAATAGATACAAGTTCTTTAGTATAAAGATCTGGGTTAGATATTAAATTTGTTTTTCTAGTATGTTTTGGTTAGTTAATCGTAAATTAAAGCCTTGATTATATATATATCATATATTGTAAATTCTTTAATGAATTCGAATTTATTAGTAATAAATTACATTTGCATCACTTTACATATATCTATATATCTTTTAATTAAATGTGGCGAATTCTTTCGTGTGTATGTATTAGCTTCGTTTTCTAGCAGTGTTAGAATGATAAATTTTTTACAAATTATGTAATTTGATTGGTTAATAATCACAGGAAATCACGGGTTAATCTATAAAAATTAACCAATCAAACGAACTTCTGTCTATGAATTTTGAGACGTTTGAATTTTCTCAACTTTGAGCGAAGATATTCTGACTGCCACTTAGCCAAATTTGATAATTTTTTTTTATTTGATTCTATGAATGTCTAAAATCAAAATAAAGAATTCTAGTTATATTAAAATTATAGTTCGGAAATGATCTACTGGCACATGACCCAGGACGATTTTAAGATCCGCCTGATCTTGAGTCAAAATTTTTACTTACAGGTTTTTCACTCATTCCAATGAATATACATATTGCCTAATTGATCAATTAAAATGCAAAATCTACGATACCGATACATGCAAATCTAGATATACTGTATCGGTAAAAGAATTACGTACATATTATACATCAAATCAACAAAATTGGTAACTGTGAATCTTTATATATTAATTTTCTGGGATTGTGCATAGGGGCGGTCCGTACGATTTTGGAAATTTTGAGGGCTGTAAAAATCATATTCTACAAACCAAAATCAGTATGCATGATTAGTATTATAAACCCACTTTCAGCAGATGGGTTCCATTTGTTCCTTACACGTGCATGCTGCCAGTAGGAGGTCTTCAAAGTCAGCTGGAATCGAGCCTACGAGTCGGGCCTGGGCCCGATTCCACCTGACTTTAAAGACCTCCTAATAGCAGCAGGCACGTGTAAGGTACAAATGGAGCCCATCTGCCGAAAGTGGGTTTATTATACACATACTGATTTTGGTTTGTGCACAATTGTAGAATATTATTTTTACAGCCCTCAAAATTTTACAGTAATCAGACATTACATATCAGATATTTGTGTAACATTCGTGCATACCATTTTTGAGGAAAAATGAGACTTCAGATTTTCAAGTTTGTGATATATATAATATGTGGTTATATATCATATCAGATATATATCACACTATGTTTTTAGAAACAAAACAAATTTTTATCATACTCATTTCATTTTTGTTTAGTGTTTTACGGTACTAATACATTAATATTTTTTTAGATCTTTTATAGTATTTCTGCAGTGTTTTAATGTGTTTTTTGATTTTTTTTCAGCGTTTCTGTGGTGTTTCCTTTGTGGTGATTTCGTGGCATTTTTACTGTAATTATATGGGTTCAACAACGTTCTTTATAGGTAACTCTACAGCGGTCTTTGTGATAGCCTTACAACAATTA